TTAAAAGTTAAAAAGCCTAATATATTATTTAATTCATAATAGTTATACCGTAACGATAAAGAATTAAAATCTAAGGAACATATTGTCACAATCGAACTCATCGAGCCGCATTTGCGACCTTCGCTTTAGCAAAGGTGTGATTGTGAAAGCGAAGGCTGATGTTCAAGTGAGATTCACTTAAGCAAATCAATGTCCGCTTTTGCTATACCACAGAGGGTTTGTGCCCTTCTAGTTCAGGGGTTTACCCCATCTCTCCTCATTTTTGAGTTCTGAAAAAATCCTTCGAGACAATTTGAAAAATATTTCTTGTGTTAAATCATTTGAGCAAGTCTTTGTGACCCTAAAATTTCAATTCCCTTTTATAATTTAAGGATTTTAACATCAAAACTTGAAAATTTGATAGGCAAATGACAAGGTATTTCAAGAATTTGAGTTCCAAAGTAAAATGATAATTGTAAACAAAATTTTACTCTTTTATTGAAATAGTTTTCACCAATGTGTTCCAAATGCTTTCGATAAAGTTTTCAAGTAAAAATTTTTGGATTCAAACCTCATTTTCAGAATTGAATTTTTGAGTTAATTAGACATATTTTTTAAAGTGTGTGATATGAGAGTTGTTATTTCCAGAATCTTATTGTGATCACTTAATTGAACTAGATTGTGCGACTTTGGACATTGTTTGCAAAGGGAAGGCTCAAGTCTGGAATTTTCTTTTGATTGATTGGGGAAAGTGACTTCTAAACCTTGTAAAACTTGTAGAATCTTATATTTCTCTTTATTGTCTGTGTTGGAGAGTAATAGGATGAGGTGATGAGTTTAGTTATTCCACTTGATTGATTTTAATGAAAATAAACGAGAACTAATGAAACAGTCAATGTGTTGACAATTGTCCTTTGTGAATTTCCTTGTTGTGAATCCTAATTTGTTGATTGCTGAAATGCTTTGATATCATCATTGTGGTCTTGAATTGGTTGAGTTATTGTTTCTTCTTGATGCTGTGAAGTTGCTTATTGCATTGATTTTTGTGCATCATGATGAGACATGTTGTGATAAAGCCAAAAAAATTATTTTGGCCAGTGATATTCTGCCGAAAGGAAATGGTTTTGTCAAGTGACATTGTATAAAGTTGAAGGGAAATGGTTGGGGCTAACGATTTTGTGCCGAAAGAAAATACTTCTACAAGTGATACTGTGATTACTGGATTGTGATGGTTAAGCCTTGTGAAATGTGTATTATAAGTTGTTAGGTTGAGTTGATTTCTATGATGATTGTTGATGTGAGGCCAAAATACACATTTTTCATCATTATTTGCCTCACATTTATTATTTTTATTTGTTCTTTTTGAGCTTAGATTTTATCGATTGTGCTTAATAGTGCATTTATTTGTAGGAATAAATTGATTTAAATATGAAGAAGTTTGGAGCTAAAACAAATTAAAGATGGAAGATTGAGGAAGGACATACAACTTAATGGATTAAATTGAAAAAAATAATATATAGAACAAGTTCATATATAGCAAACATAAAATTCATATTTGTATGTTATAGCTATAGTTTGCATAATTGCGCTCCATAACAAAATTTATGTTTTCTATGGAGCTTTTGATTTGTATTTTAGCTAAACACATTCAGTTTTATACAAATTGTTCAGTTTTGTATAAATATTTATACATTGTAATTTTTATAATAAGATATGTATTTATATAATTATAAGTGTAGATGACGAAAATATATGTATATACACTTTCTCTCGCTTTACAAAAACAGAAACACATTTTATACCGAATGTATATAATGACTAATTGTATATCGTATTATATGACAAAAGAATGAGATGTTTGCTGCGAGTTACAAATAAAATAACCTATGGTTGTAACATTTAATTTGAATTATTTATTTGCTATTTCATATAATTTTCCCTATATAATATATATTAAGGCACTTGAGGAAATTAAGAATTTAATTTGGCGTAGAAGCGTGCCACGTGACAATATTTGAAGAATTCGTACAACGTTTGATGAAGCAATTTAATGCAGGATCCTAATTCCTTTTGGTTTTGAGTTTCTGATCTGTTTTGGACTCATTTACTTTATTCATGATTTTCTACATCTATAAATAGTCCATAAGAATAAGTAAATTCTGAATCAAAATTTATTTTCTACATTGTATCTTCCTCCCTTAATAATCAAGCAACTATATAGTTTTTTATTAGGGAGTTTGGTTAAGTATATTTGTATTTGACAAAATATACATATGTATCTGAAATGCGAGTTCATAAATTGATAAAGTGTACAATGAGTTAAGACATAATGTATTTAGTGTTTTATCATGACAAGAAAAATTCGCAACTACTATTCGTTGGGTGCGCACATTATAAAACTCCACTCTTATCGCAAATCACTCGAGAGAGTAACCCATACTAGACAAACCTATTTAGTTTTAATCAACATATCTGACTATGTAAACATGTATTTGACAAAATATATACATGTATTTGAGTAAGAGTTCTTGTATATGATAATACATATGATAAACATGTTACTAGCATTCATTTGACACATTATTTATTTATTATTAATGTATCTAATTATGTGTACATATATCTAACAAAATATTACACATGTATTTAATTAGGATTTCATGAATCTGATAAGGCGTGCATATTTTAGAGTTAACAAATTTAAATTTTGTTGAACCACCAAAAAAGAAGAAGAATTTTGATTGTTATATTTTTTTTAGGAGTGTGATATGTCATATCCTCTAAAATAGTTACAAGCGTGATTTTCAACTTAATTAGTGACTTTCAGTTATATACTTTAATTACACACAATAATTGATATGAGTGAGCCTTAACATATATTTGGAAGAGACAAATACATGTTTTGAGGCTCAACGAATTGTAAAAAGAAAATATTGCAAATTATCGTGAATTTATGTAATTAGCTATTTAAATAGTGAGATTTGTATAGTTATCTTTTTAAAAAATAATATATTATTATAGAAAATACATAAAATTCCGTCTGAATTTATCCACAAAACTCACTTTAATACTTTAACTTTACGGGTAAATTTTTACCTCATAATCTCATTTCAGGAATGCACCCAAATAGCTTGTGTGACAAACTAAAAAGCGCATATATGCACAAAATTAAAAAGAAAATATATAAGTGGGTCCCTTTTTTTTTAATCTTTTCAGCAAACCATTTTTCTTTCTTCATCTTCCTAACACCCCACCACTCCGCCAGCCTTAGCTACCAGTAACCCCACACCTTCTTCTTCCTCACACCTAAGGTTGGGCAATGGAACAAGATGTACTTGTACCAGTACTGGTTCGATACTGTTTCGGTTTGTTTCGGTTCATCCCGGTTGGTTGCCTACAGAACGGAACGGAACGGAACGGGACATCCCAAATCGGTACACGGATTGGAATGAAATCGAAATCGGTACCGGTTCATCCCGATTTATTCCGATTTTATTTCGGTCAGGTACCAATTAATTAATATTTATTAATTAATATTATATATTTATTAATTAATTTATATTATATATTTATAAATTATATCTTATATTAAATAATAAATAATATCTAAGTAACTCAACTACCCCTATTAGCATTACATTATTCGAGACTTAGTTGAAACAACTACCAATCTAGAAGGTGGTTGCGTAAACTATGCACTCTACTACTAGTTGTAAATTAAAATTGTAATTTATAATACAAATTTAAATAAATTAAATTGATACTCTTTAATTTGTGTGATTGTTTTATCCTTATTTTTATTTAATTTTTTAAAATTTAAAATTTAATTTATTTAAATTACAAGTTATAAATATTACTTATAAATTATAACATAATAACAAATAATAAGTAATAACTTATAAACTTTAAAAGATTTAAATCTTGAAAACTTAATTAGACTTAATTTGCAAACTTAATAAATAAAATTTTTATAAAAAGTATCTTTAAAATAACTAAAGTAAAAAATTACATTATAAATTTAAAAATATTAATCCAAACTTAAAAAAATAAAAAAATATTCATATTTTAGTGATTCAAAAAAATCATTTTTTTGAAATAACTAGATGTGTCATTCCATTTATCGCATTTCGTTCCATTACTGGTCCGTTCCGGTTCCATTCCTACATATATGGTAGGAGGGGATGGAACTGAATATTCGTCACGATAATTTCGGTCTGGTTCATCCCGGTACCGGTCAATTCGTCCCATTCCAGTCCGATACCGGTTCATTCCGGTCAGGTGGTCCCGTTCCGATTCGTTGTCCAGTCTTACTTACACCCCACTACCTCCTGTAGTCCTCAACCGCCTCTTAATCAACCCATTCTTCTTATTTGAAACCCATCCTTTTCTGTTTCTTTGGAATTTCCTTGATAAAAACGGTGTCGTTAGATTTATGATCAACAGAGTTAATTTTTCTTTTTTCAACGGACACCTTGTGATTATCGCCTAAATCAGATTTTGATGCAGCACTAGAGGATAAATTCTCCAAATGTTGGTTGCTGAGGTAAATAAACTACGAGTTTGGCTTTCTTTTGTTTCCTCTAATCCTCATTTTCGTCTTCTTCCTCAAACTTTGGTGACAGAAAGTTCGACTCAAAATTACAATTTCAGCGAGAAAAACGACGAACAACAAAGGCTTATTATTAATAATGATTTTTCTTTTGTTGAGATCTGCTAAAGATGATCTTCCTTTCTTCTTCTTTCTTTTCATTTCCATGGCTATGTCTACTGCTAAAGAAGTTTTTAAATATAACTTTTTAATGAAAATTCTTCAATTTCTTCATCTCAAATTATATATTTTAGATTGTTATTTCTTTTACACCATCTTAAAGATTGAAAATGCATTTTTTGTGAGAATTTTTTTAAGAATCGACTATATATTTTATTTATTTTTTTAAAACTTAGATTAATCCTTCTTTCTTATTTTTCTATTTCTAAAATTGTGAATAAATAAAGTGATATAATTTTTTTTATATAATTTTTTTTATATAAAAAATCAAAATTCGAATATTTTTTAATATGACATGGCATGACGAATGTGAAATGCACTTTCCACTATAAAACTAATATTATAATTTTAGGGTGAATTTAGTTCACTTTAAATAAGATTAGGGGGTAAAGAATTATATTTAAAGTTACATGTTAAAGTAAATTTTACTGCAAAGTTTGGAGGAGGTTTGGTATATTTATTATTAGGTTATTATTATTATTATTATGAATATATATAAATAATTTGGTTTGAACTAAATGAACAAAAATTTAAACCGAAGAGTGATCCTGCTGGAGACTTGAAGGCACAATCAGAAGAAGCTAATTTCCTCTGAAAAAGTAAGCTAATCCATTTCATTTCTTTCTCTTATAGTTTGGGTGTTGTGATTAGATGACAATGTGAACAGATTCTTCGTTTTTGTAAATTTCCTTCGTTTGATGTTTTCATGCCTTGAGTGATTTGGGTTTTCTCTTTCGTTTCTTTCTTTCTCTCATTGTGAGTGAGTAATTTGGGTTTAAGCTTATTTTTGTATTCTAATTTTGGTATTGAAATGCATTCAGTCAAGAAATTTTAGGGTTATTCACTAATTTCATTTTGGTATGTGAACACTGAGTTTTACTTGTTGATTTTCTTGGAGATTTCTCTTTTGTTTTTGTTTTACAGAAAAATGACGGATCCAAACCAGTCTGTTCTCAGCAAACTCCCTAATAATGTAATTGATGAGATTCTTATACGTTTGCCTTTTCGAGATGCTGTCTGCACAAGCATTTTGTCAAAGGAATGGAGAAAACATTGGTGTAGACTTCCACAGCTTACGCTTGACTCCGACTTTTGGAAATCTAAAAAGGACCTTACAGGTGATAAAAGAGCTACCAGTAACTTTACAATGACTATCCACAACATTATCACCCGCCATTCAGGACCACTTACAAAGTTTACCCTTTGCATTCAGTATTGGGAAATCTACCCTCCTATTGACAACTTATTATATTTCCTCTCTCGAAACAGAATCCAACACCTTGTTCTTAAACTTCCGAGACAATTCAAATTGCCACCTTCATTTTTCACATGTTTGCATTTGAGGCATCTGTTTCTCCAAAACTGTTTATTACTTCCTCCACCAGACTTCAAGGGATTTGATAGGTTAATTAGACTAGAACTGCATGAGGTTACCATTTCTTCCAAGTTGCTTGAAAGTTTGATTTCTAATTGCTTGTTGCTTGAGCAATTGGTGCTAAGGATCTCAGATACGTTAAGCGACATCATTGAAATTAATGCTCCCATGCTGAAATCTTGTGACTTCACCGGCGATATGACAACTATCTGCTTAAAATGTGTCCCTCGTTTGACAGAACTTTCTCTGAGGTATTATCGTAAGGACTGGAAAGAATTTGATGTTGCAAATTTTTTAACATCAAACTTTTTTGAGTCATGTCCTGATCATCTCGAGCATCTTCACTTGGATTATGGGGTAAATATTGTTTCATATTTCATTTTCTGTAGTTACACGTTATTTGCCCTTCGAGTTATCCTTATTTTTGGCTTGTTCTTCCTAGGTCATTGCTAAAGGCCAAGAAATACCGAAAAAGCTTCCCTTTGATCTGTTGTGTGTCAAACATCTTTGCATGTGTATTTATCTTGACAGGGATGAGATTCTGTGTCCTCTTTCGTTGATAAGAAGCTTCCCATTTTTACAATATCTAGAAATTCAGGTTCTCTTTTATTTCGTCTTTTTTTTTCCTACTCAAATCATCAATAAGCTAATGTAGTTGAGTTTTGATATGTCTTTCTTAGATGGAGCATAATTTTAAGAAGAATATGCCGGCTCTAGAATGTCTTGAAATGGAAGCTTTTCCAGATGTGATATTCGAACATCTAAGGGAAGTGACGCTAATAGAAGCTAATGCGAGTATACGGGAGATGCAACTTATCAAGCTTCTGTTAGCCATGTCTCCGGCGCTAGTGAAAATGGTAATCAGTCCTCACAGGTTTTTGGGAAAATCTACTATAGTCAAAACACTTACTAAGCTAGCAGAATTTGAGTGTGCACCTAAAGCAGAAATTTTCCTTAAACTAGTATAAATACCATCATGTTTTGGATGTTGAGATTAAGAGATAGAAGTGAATGTTGATGCAGTATAAAACTTGTGTTTTGCTTAGTTGCCTGCCATTATATCTAGGTAAGTGTTCTCTTACATTATTCACTTTTTTATGTTTACAATGCCAAAATGTATTGTCCTGGTTAAAGTCATTCTCTATATTTCTCTTTTGGAAAAGGGCCAAAAATGACCTGACCTGAAACCTATTAAATCACTCATGTCTTCTCCTCACACACCAACAATTTATCTCTTGAAAGATGCAGCTTATCCATGTTACATTCTTTCTATTGTTGGTGCGCGAAAATCCCCATTGCTCGACATTTTAGCAGCTGGAACTTTGCGTACAAGTGTCACTCTTCTCCTAAACTCTCTTCCTCTTCCCAATCCTCTGTCTTTCTGCAAGCTCTCAGCTTATGTCCCTCAACATGATTCTTGCCTTTCACAGCTCACCTTCTCAGAATTGTTTGCCTTTTCTGCCCGTCTCCACGACCTGAAACTGGCTTGAGCTGTTCTTAGTTGGATTAGACTTTCCCTTTGATCCTGATTGAGAAGGAATAGCTTCATTCAACGCACCACATCTTTTGGTAGTATAGTAACTTACAACTTTAGTTCATTCATGAGCCGAAGTTTCTTTCAGAAAAGTAATATTAGTTGTCGAAAAATAAGACAATCATCCGCTAAAATATCAAAAATACACCAAATCTAATAGTGTGAATTTCGTTGGATCATCTCTGTTATACACTTTTAACTCCATATTACAACTACATCAACGATAGAATAGTGTAATTTGTATCATAATAATAAAAGCTGAGAAAGGAGAAAGAACAGTTGATACATTTTATATAGATCTTAAAATAACAAATCAAGATCAAGTAATACTTGTGTGCATAAACCATAGATGGTGTCTATGTAGCTGCTGTGGCTGACCCCTTCTTAGTCTATGGGGCAAAATAGGTTTGACATCTAATACAAAAGAGAGAATCCACTTCAGATGACCACGTCTCTGCTAGGCAGAGTGTGGAATGCCTGAAAACGGACCTTTTTGGATATATAATCCAACTCGAGAGTAGAGTTAGAGGAAAAACCATCTGATCATATAAACAAATTTCAAATCCTTCTCCAACATTTCATACTTCCTACTGCATAAGCTTTTGAAGTACCTCATAAGATTGCACGGTGGCTACTTTTATTAGTATTGGAATATTGTATATGGTGCCCCTTCTTGCCCATTATAGCTCTTAATTTCCTTCCTCTATTATAATAATAAATAATTAAATATTGCTAATAAACAATGGAAAGAAACCCACCAATAGAAAGGGGAAAAGCATAACTCTATCACTATTACGTTATTAACTTTATTATCTGTATATATTATAATAATAATAATAATAATAATAATAATACCTCTTTATTTCTCCACAACTTCTAATATAAAACACATTTACAATAACTAAGGGAGTTAAAAAGTGACTTTTGAGTTTTTATGATATTATAGCACACAAATGGAAAAAATAGGTAAAATGTCAAAAAAATTAATATAAGAGATACATTTCTGTAATTCCACTTGTGATCAAAATGTGTAAAGTTGGATAACTGTTATCCCTACACTAAACTAACATATTATGAATATTTAACTAAATATCAAATTATAAATAAAATAATAATACATTAATAGTGATAACTCAATTCAATGAATTCATTGTGTTCAGGGAGTTAATTCTCTCCACATTATTTCTTTAGTTAAACGGAGGAATGACTGCGACGTAACTCGTACGCCACTTACAATGTCTGAAAACCAAAATGTACGAAAACAAGAAGTAAGTTCTTTAAAAGTTATATTTTTTAATTGAAATGATCTCATAGTAATTATTTTATTTCCTCCCAGTATTAATTTTCATTTTGATAACAGTAAAATATTTCTTATAAAGTAGATTTTTCTTTATTTTCAAATACTTTACGAATTGAAGTAGGATACATATTTTTGAATTAAAAAAATCATCATTAAGAAATGGAGAATGACCTAAAATATTCTTAACTTTCACCTTTTAGCTCCAAAATATTCTTGATGTTAATCCTTTGACTCAAATTTACCCTTATTTTTATTAGTTGTCTTAAAGTAAAATTATTAAATATTTATTTATTATGTTGTTTGATGTGATTGAACCAAATTTAAACACTTCTCAATTAAATAATAAAAAACCATCTTTAATTTTTTTTTTTATAAATCCACATATAATTCATATTTTTGACCCAATAAATTTGAAAATATTGAAAAAATAATTAATTTCATGATTTCTTCGTATTGGTCTATTCAAATCATCTCCCAATTTATTATAACTTAACCCATCTCATAAATGAGGATCCAACTAACATACGTACTCACCCCGACTAATTATTCATATAAAAAATATTATTTTTATTAATATAAATTTTCTATCAATTATCCAAATGTTTTATTCATTTTTCTTAATCTTTTATTCTTAATTAGGATATACAGGACTCGAATTTGAAATGAACTCACCTATTTATATTCTTTTAATTTGTATTATTGTTATGGTGGGGAGGATGAGATAAGAACTATGAGTATATTTATTCTTTTATTGAACTAGTATACATATATAAAATAAAATATTAAAACTTATTACAATTTATAAAATTATTACAACAGAGAAAATTAGTAGTTAAGTAAATATTACTAGCATAATTAGTCAAAATAACAATATTTTAAAATATTTATTTAAAATGACAGAATGACAATGTTTTTGTATAATAATATGTATTCAAATTTTGATTTATTTAGTATTTTAAATTAATTTTATTTATAAAAATTGGACCAAAATATACGCCAATAATTGTTTTAAAGTGAAAAAGAAACTAATTTCATTTACCTTTTTTTCATCCATTAACCTTTCTTCCCCAAATTGCATGTTTCATCTCCACATCTCACGTTTAAGTTTAGATTCCTTCAAGCTGCTAAATTATTGCACATCGAGAATTTTTCTTTATTGTTAATCTAAATCTATTTATTAATTCAAGAAGATTTTCGATTGACAAGGTAATTTCCATCATTTGTTTTGATTTTTTTAATTTGATGTTTAAAGCACCGATTATATACATTTACGGATTTTTCAATTTTCATATGATTTTGTTTAAATATTCATCATATATTTATGATTTTCAATTTTTTTAAACTCGCAAAATGATTTCTAGAATTTATGTATATATTTTGTCTGATGTTTAATATATTTCAATATTTGTTAAAAGGAAAATTTCTTCTTTCAAATTTTTTGGGATAGCATCTGATTGTCTACAATAACGGACTCAATCAGAATTACTAGATGTATACCAAATAATATTCAAAGGTTTGGAAATTTTTTCTTTTGATTTATGTATTATCCAAGAATTGCTCGAAAATGTACGATCTGCGGCTAGAATAGCACGAGAGAGATCGTGTAGGAATAGACCGTGTATTATTTTTAGTTAATGATGCTTCATTTTTATATCTTATTAGAGTTGATTAGTTTCCCAAATTCTAATGTCCTCTGTTTTATATAATATCATGGAATTCTTTGTATGTATTTTCACTCAAAATGTATTAGTATCCATGTTATATTATATTTGTTGTATTTAACATTTATTTATTTTAATTGTATGTGTTAACTTGTATGAGTCACAAAAAAAATACAAATTAGTACTAACATAAAATAATACTGCAAATCCATTTTTGGTGAAAAACATGACAAATACAGTAATTTGTATTTAAACTAAATTATATTTATATTTTAATATCAAGTATTGTTATATTATTATTATTTGACTTTGAAATTGAACAATACAAAAATTCACGATGTATCTCAATATTGGAATATATCCCAAACATCAGGATGTATTCATTTGTATTCCATTCTTATATATTCAGTTATATTTTTATTTATAAAACCCATTTCATGATTTTTTCTGTCAATGGGTCGTTATGTCTTTCAGCAATAAGAAGATGTGAAAGTAATTTGGAATTATATTAAAACTCATTTCTTGATATTGCTGCTGCAGGAGCATACTCGAGGCAGGAAATGTGGAGTATGTTTTCTCAAGCTTATCATTTTCAGTGACCTCTTCTCCGCATAAATTTAATTGTGATATAATTCTATACATGGAAGAATTATATTCAGTTATACTTTTAAAGTCCGATAACCTCAAATTAACCAATCATGATGCGCCTATGGTAGAATGACCAACTTTAGGTGGTCATGTCTATCTTTCAAATTATTTCATAGTACAAGTGAGTCTTTAATAGTGACGTATTGCATTTTCAATCCCTCGTCGAGATAGTGAAGGAGAAATATCATAACTTTTGCATGTTCTTGACTGAATGTCTGGTTATTATTTTTGATGGTTTCTACCAGACCCATTGCTTCCATGTGAATTTTAGCATCTAATATCCATGATGAGTATCCTTTGTCCGATATATCCAAGGCAACAAATTTAAGTTCAGAAATTTTAGACTTCTTTTTTAGAAAAATAAAATTCTTACTCATTTAACCAATTTAAAGTAGCTCAAGTTGACAGAATTTCGTGTTGATAACGTGTTATAAAATAACTAGCTAACAAACTAATATTAATAAACTAAATTAATAAGGACAAACAAAGAGATAGCATACTATATATTAAACTTTTCTTATATATTACTTTGTGAATGAAAACATGGCTATTTATAGTTCATGAGAAATATATAAATTAACATCTGATCATTGAGAAATTATATACTTGCCAAGTTATGACACTTCAAAAATTGATGGCTTTCCATGACATTATTTTAGTATGATAAGTGATGACAATTAAAAGCTGACCCACGTGACATCCGTTTAATTTTACAACAAAAATTAGTATAAATTAAAACCAACTTAAGAGAAGACTAGAGAAGTATTTTTTCTTCTTCTTGCACAACTCAAAAACAGAAGAGTAATTCTTGTTGGCTGAAGACTTTACTATCAAGAAACAAAGAAGAAGAAACTAATTTCCTCTGAAAATGTAAGTTTATCGATCGTATTCCCTTTTTTATTCACTAATTTTATTTTGGTGTTGAAATTAGTTGTTAGCCAATTTTGGGTGTTGTGATTAAATCATGAAAATCTTGGATTATATGTCAAAACTAATATAATAGGAATCCTTTTCAACACTTTTAATATTAAGTAAAAATATTCAAATTTTAATTTATTATGTATTTTATTTAAGTTTTTATTATTTATTTTAATTTAAATAATATAATTGTTAACTAACAAAAATGAGAAACTTAGGGAAAATAAATTTTTAAAAAAGGAACAATTGCTTAAAAGCCTCATCAGTTCTAAAAATTTCAAAAGTAAATACAAATTCAAAAAAATAAACACAGAGAACTCATCTCACTTGTTCATCAAATTTCTAGTATCGATTTTTAAATTTTCATTGATAATATTCAAATCTGTTGAAATGAATTCGATTAAATCATATCTTTTAAATTTATATTTTTTAGAATATTGTATCAATCTCAACAAATTGTAATATTTTCATTATGTATGCTATTCTTTTTCTAGAATCTTATATCTTTCTTTAATCGTATTTATATGTGATGATTAGATTATATTGGAATACAATCCGTAAAATTTTTGTAATACGAATAAAAGAAAAAAATATTTGGTAGTTATTTAATCTAATTTTGATCACTAGGATACAATTTTAGTTTCACTATGAAAGTAAAATGTTAATTTAAATTTAAATGGTAAAGTGAACACATAAAATACAAAATTCGTTGATATACAATTATGGTGAAAACATAATAACAAGAAATACAAACTTGTTGTCATTAAAATTGAGACAAAAATACAAAATGAGCAATATAACTACTCACATCAGTTGGAATACAAAATTGATTTTGTTGGTATATCATTATGATGAACAAAAAAAATACATATTTTTTAAAATACAGTGTGAGAGTTAAATACAAAATTGTCACTGTAAAATACTCACCACAATATGATACTCAATTTAATTTGAATGATAAATTGAACGTATAAAATATAAAAATTGTTGGTATACAATTATGATGAAAACATAATAAAAAAGAAATACAGACTTGTTGTTATTGGAAATTAAGATTGAAATACAAAATAAGCACAATAAATACTCACTTCAATTGAAATACAAATGTGACTTTGTTGATATACCATTGTGATAAATGCACAATAAAAAAATATAGAACTTATTTGTATACAAAGTAATATTGAAATTCAAAAGGGATAATACTCAATTACCCCCCTAGCCTATACCCAAAATCCCTACGACACACCTTATCTTTGATGAGGTCCTATTACCCCCTCCAACTTTTTTTAAAGTAATTTGTTACCCCTTGCGTGCCTACGTGGCAATAATCGTGATTTCACCCATGTAGGGCGCGTGAGTGCAGAGTGAGTGCAGATTTTGGCTAACAATGACCAATAAAAGTTAGCCACGTGTCAAAGCAATTTGAAAAAAAATTCAAAAACAAATTTTATTGTTTCTCTCAAAAGCAAGTTCTTATTCCTCTTTTCAAAAAATAACCCCATGTTCATGGTTCTTCATTTTTGAAGAAGCTCCATCCATTATCATTCAAGTTAAATAGCTCCTTGATTTGAAAAGGTAAAGTAAAATTTAATCTATTCTTTACATCTTTTTATGTCGATTATTAATTCTTATTTTTTTTGACAATGTTTATAAAGTTAGGGTTATGACAAAATCCGAGTTGAATAAGTTGTGTATGGATGAAATCGATCCACACACTGCAAAAAAAAATAACTCCCAAAATCCAACATCGAAAATCAAATTTCAGTTGGAAATCTAATTTCTAACCTTTGAAGTCGATCCCGTCCACACATGCAAGACTTTCTCTCTTTCTACTTCATCTACTTTTTGGTAAAATTAATTTGGAAAAGATAAAACGCCAGCTTTTCAAACTTGGGAAGTGTAAAGTTACTTTATCGAAAGCTGAAAAAGTGGGTCCCGGCGCGTGTTCAACAAACACTTCGACCTTGCAGATTATTATTTCCACGTAGGCACGCAAGGGGTAATAAATTACTTTAAAAAAAAGTTGGAGGGGGTAATAGGACCTAATCAAAGATAAGGTGTGTCGTAGGGATTTTGGGTATAGGCTAGGGGGGTAATTGAGTATTATCCCAAATTCAAAATAAACAAATTAAAATACAAAATTATTGTCATTTATGTTTTAAGTAGAAAATTGTAATATATGTAAATTAGAACATTGTTGATTAAGTTGAATACCTCTAGTAATTCTCTAAGATTCTACCATTGGAGAGTAATTTAGAGTTTATCAAACCCAAAACGTGATTTCACCTACAACAGCAATTTTAAACGATTTAAACAAAAATAAAATCATAAAAGAAATATTAAAAAACGGATAAAGACTCATATTTTAATAAAAGGGATTGTCTGAATATCTTTATAAATATATTTTTCAATTTCTGAAAAAAAGAAAAAGAAACAAGAGAGGTGGATTTTGAAATGGAGAAGAATTAGAAGATGAAAATATGAGAGAAAAAATATTTCATTTAAAAAAAAAACATATTGAGAGAAGATTAATTGGAAAATTTGTAATTAAAGTGAGATAAAATTGAAAGTAAATTAGAATACACAATCTTTCCTAAAACAATGACATTTTGACATTTTTACTAATTCCTCCGCCCGGTATTGTTTGTCATGGTTTCTATTTTAAAAGTCAATCTATAGAAATTTTGACTAACATTTTAAGATGTATTTTTTCATCATATTAATATGTCAAAAAATTAAAATTTATTGTACTTTTCATATAGTTTTAGGATATCTAATTTTTTTTGAATATCGAATTAATATGATCTAATTTACCTTTGAAAATTAGTCAAATTGACTTTCGATAAGCGCAACATGACAAACAATTCCGGACGGAGGGAGTAATATTTATAAAGTAGGGAGGTTTTTACTAATTAAGTTAGATTAGATGAAGTTGAATGTTGATCTTACTACATCATTTCTAGATTGTTTTGAAGTGGAAGCTTTTCAGAACGTGGAATTCCAACACTGAACAATATTTAAGCTAAAAGACGCTTATGGCAGTATGTGAGAGATGCAACTTATCAAGCTTTTGTTAGCCAAGTCTCCGAAGCTGAGTTCTATATTGTCTTGAAGTGGAAGAGTGGAATTCCAACGCCTAACAGTAGTTAAGCTAAAAGATGAAGTTGGATTCTAAATTAACAGTAGTTAAACTAAAAGATGAAGCTGAGTTCTAGATTTTCTTGAAGTGGAAGCTTTTGAATGATGAAGCTTAATGCTAGATTGTCTTGAAGTGGAAGCTTTTCAGAATGTGGAATTCTAACACCAAAAAGATGAAGTGGAAGCTTTTCAGAATGTGGAATTCCATCGCCTAACAGTAGTTAAACTAAAAGATGTATGATGGTAATATGCGACTTATCAAGCTTCTGTTAGTCAAAACTCCGCAACTGGTGAGAATGCTAACGAGAATGTCAATCAATCTCCAGTTTCTCTAGAATGTATCTCCAATATTATTAAGAGATAAATGTCAAAACACACATAAATTATCCTCTTTTTTGAGTTTCATACCTAAACTGTTGAAAGTGTAAGTTTCATAACGTTTTATGAGATATATTACTTACTCGCATTGAAGCTGTAGTAATAATCTTTTATTTTATCACTTACTTGGTTGTTAGAAAGGAAGTGGATAGTATGTATCTCATAAAGAAAGTATTCCTTTTTGTGGAATTGTGTTTCAATGAGCTAGTAAAAAGATTGGGTTTGCATATTTAAAGCCTAGTGAAATTAAACATCCCCCAAATTCAAGGTCATATTAGGATGTCCAAGTTAACATTTGAAAACAAACCACAACTGCTTCTTTTTCTTTGATCAACTTTACCCAAAAAAAAAAACCTGCTAATAGCCCCAGTAATCATTTTGAATTTCATCATCAAACTTCTTTTTCAGCTCAGGATGCTTCTCAAAGTATTCTTCAGCTGTCATCGTACTAAGTTTTTTCTGTTCGTCCAAACAAACTCACACGGTTAGATAAAAAGGATAAATGATAAGAATATATTATATATATATATATATATATATATATATGGAGGAATAAGGTGAAATGAAGACCTTCAACTCTTGCACGTCTGCAACTTCTTTTTCTAATCTTTCAGATTCCTTCAGAGATTTCTGCTCCGCTTCTTTCAGCTCCACCAACTACGATTATTGCAACAATTCGAAAGAATAAACCAAAGAGTATGCAAATTTAACCATGCTATTCTTGTGTTAATTGAAACTTCTGAAAAGAAGGTACACATGATTTGGCATTATCTTCGAATCACCATTGACATGCCAATTCGGGATCAAGCAGGTACATATTGTAACTGGTATTCTAACAATTCCACCGAATGTCTCAACTTTATTTCTGTTAAGGAAAATAATTTTTGATAAAATGATTCTATTGAAATATGTACTTCATGTATTTTTTTCGTTTAATCTTTTTTATGCCAAAGGTGAATTCCTCTGTGGCAGCAACACTGGAACACAAGGACAGCTTGCAGGATTTGAGCAATTAAGAATTCCCTATATCAATTTTCAACTAATTATTATAGGTATGACTATACCAATAACAAGTAGCTAGAAAAAAAAACTCATGCAAAGAAAGGTAAGGATAATGATTATTGTTTTTCCACTTACCAAGGCGTCAAATTTGGGTTTATATTGAGGAGTCACCATATCCACAAACTTGGGGATCTCAATGCCTGAAAGAAACAACAGTTGGAAATAGTTATGGAAAGCCAACAAACATCATTGGAGTTTGACATATATATAGGGAGTGAGCTAGCTCTGTTTCTCCAACAGTGGCAGAGCCTTGTATAGCTAAATACTAGACGCACAGACATCAAAATGAAATTTCAACTGAACTATGAGATCAGCAGTTCTATTCAAACTTGGTGCAAACATTGAATGAAAATATGACGGAATTTGAGCAATAATCAAGAGTATTAGAGGACTATGTTGAAAAATATTTAGTAGTTGCACTCAGTAAATTCTAAATCGTTATTCACTTTTAAAAATTATAATAATGAAATAAGCCACTAAAAATGTGAAGAAAACTACAGACTCTTCACATTTAATCCACTTACTTACACAGTTCACCCACATAGAAAACTATATCACGAAATCCTACACCTGAGAAATCATACAATCCAGGACCACTACTCTGCTTAATAGTTTTTTAGTTTTATGGCCAAGAGTTTGAAGTCAAGTTCTGAGAACCAAGAGATGTAAAAGTCAAGGTACTACAAAAGAAATAACATTAAAGGTACCACGAGAGCATGCTCATAAAGTAATAAAAAGATATTCCAAACACAAAAAAGAGAATCTGAAACTGCACATACTGTCGTAGGCCTCTCTTTGTACATGTCTACCAAGCGAGAACCAATTCCTTTTCTGTAATACCCCCAGTTGATAGGTTCAGGTTCCTGCTTGGTATATAAGCGAAGAACACTCTAGTGTTAGAACCTCTAAATTTATAGTTCAAATAGAGATAACTATCTATCTGAAAAAACTCACAAAACAAGTGATTAATTGGCAACCTACACTACTCCATGTATTATCCATGCTCAGTGAATTTTTCTAGTTGTTTCGAAAACTCACAAGTACCATTTGGTTAAAAACAGGCCCAGAGACTCAATAGAGACAAAAACTCAAGAGTCACTTCACTAATGTAACTACCATTAAGTTTATCTGGTAACTCTTCCGATACAAATTAAAAGTTGAGTTGTTCTTATTAGTGAAAATTTTGATAGGTATCAAAATACACATTTGATATATGACAAACCCGCTCATTGCTATCTTTATTAACGAAAGTAAATGTGTCTATGTGCATCTGAGACTTGGTAACAGGGGTGCTTCCCTATACAAGACACCTGCAAAAGTACAGGCAAGCAGTGATAGCATTTACCAAAATAATTCAATCAAAAAATTTTCGCAAAAAACATTGTTTCACTTAAGAAGCAGTTGAATCTCTATTGCTTTTGGTTCAGGTCATTGAGGGCAACCTGGTAATTTATGATGAAGAGGATGAGTTTCTCGTGAATAATCCAGAGTTCTCACATGGTCCCTCCAAAACCAGTTCCTCAAGAACAAAGATTTGAATGTCAAACATTGCATTTTCTAACCGAATGGCTTGTATATTTATCTAATAAAGTTTAACTAGAACAATTTAGAAATGCTAGTAAAGGTTTTCACATTATCCGACATGTCAAAAAAAAAAGAAGAGAGAGAGAAGAAGCAACCACAGTTCTTTTTCTTTACAGTTTTCAATTTTCATTCCTTCAATCCTCGCTCATCTTCTCCTTATTTATTAGTTTTAGTTGGTATTCGCATAGTATCCTTTTCTTCTACTTCTACTACTGCATTTGCATTGTTCAACTTGCAATTTTGTGGGACTAAATTGAGTTTGTTGTAGAATCAGGAAAATTACAAGTACACAGGGACAAACAAAAGAACCTATTAATGGTTTCTTCTGCCTTTCTAAACAAATATAATAGTTAAGTTGTTTGTCCAAGAGAAGGATGCACATAAGCACCCAAGGAATGTGGCCTAGTGGTAAATGAAGTAAGTTGAGAAGCATGATGTCTCAAATTCAAACTCCAAGGAATGTGGCCTAATGGTAAATGAAGTAAGTTGAGAAGCATGATGTCTCAAATTCAAACTCCAATAGAGCATGTGATTTCTTCATATCTTTGTGCATAGAGGTCACCCAGTACCTGATTCATCATGTTCCATCTAATTGGTAAGACATCAACTGATTCAAGCAAGTTTTCTTTTTATTCAATGCCTTATATTTTCTTGGGCAACTTTCACATATAGCAAACAAAAAAAATCATATTTGTACAATATAGCAAATTTTGCATAATTGCGCTCCATAGCAAACATAAAAACTGTATAATTCGCTATACATATAAAAGTGTATAATTCGCTGGCCTAAATTGTATAATTCGCTGGCCTAAATTGTATAATTCACTGGCCCATTTTGCTGCAATTGTATAATTAGCTTTGCATACAGTTGAATCGAATTAAAATGTATGTATATTGCATAATTATAAGTGTATAGCAAGAAGATATATGTTTTTCTCGCTTTATACAAAAACAGAAACACAATATATACACTTCTGTTGTATAAAGCTAGAAAAAATTGTATTTCACTGCAATTGTATAATTCACAATTGTATAATTTTTTGGCCCTTTTCTCTGCAATATTTGAATTACAATGTTTGTAAATTATATAATTAAGTGTATAACACGAAGATATACATTTTTGCATGTGTATATACAATTTTCTCTCGCTTTATACAAAACAGAAAAGAAATTATACACTTCTGTGTATAAAGCGAGAGAGGCGAGAATGGGAGAGTGGCGAGCGAGACTTCTGGGAGAGAGACGCCTGGCAAATTTTTGTCAATGTTTGCTCGGAGTACAATTAAATCAAACCGTAGCTATTCAATTTAATTTAGGTTATTAGTTTGCTATTTTATACAATTTTCCCTATTTTCTTTTGCCACTACAATTGTTAGGATAT